TATATCTATCTATCTATCTATCTATCTATCTATCTATCTATCTATCTATCTATATATATATATATATATATCTCACAGGGCAATGTAATGAAATAACTCAGAAAGCATCACACTTAAATTACTATTACAGAACCATCTCCTAGATTCTGGACATTAGTGATTTTCTTATATGAACCTCTCTGCAAAGCCTTAAGGAAGGCCAACACCAATGCTGGCAATGGCCAGAGAGGTAGTGACAATGAGCAAAGTGGGGATTTAATCCATCACTGTTTGTCCAAGGCTAATAGATGCAAGATATAAGGTCTGTTGTCAGATATTTCATTTGATAACAAACCATAAGTTTTCAAGTTTGGTTTTAACTTTATATTTATTTATTTTTATGTTATGTGTATGAATGTTTTGCCTACATGTGAGTGCATTGTGTGCATGCAGTGCCCACAGAGGCCAGAAGAGGGTGCTAGATCCTCTGAAACTGGAATTTAGGACATTGTTAGCCACCATGTAGGTGCTGGGAACCAAACCAAGGTATCCTTCAAGAGCAGCAGAACTCTTAGCCACTGAACAGTCTCTCCAGTCCTTGGTGGTTATGATTTTAAATTACTTTTAAAGATATGGTTAAATAACAATAAAATAAATTGAAACAGAACAAATATGGACCAGTTATGGTCCCAGGGCATTCAATGACATTAGAGGGAATATAGAGGAAAAGTGAAAAAATATTTATATTTATTCATTTGTGTATTTTACTAATTTTATTGAGAAAAATTTTATGTAAAAATTAAAACTGGTACAAAAACCCTCTGATTTAATAGTACTAGGATAAGAAGATCAAAACATAACAAGATAAGTCATGAACTTATAGATACCTAATTGTCTAGTATTCATATCTCCAACTAAGCAAAGTATTTATACTTTAACACACTTTTATACTTTCTCTTAGGCATGGCTCTTTAGCTCTCTAGATTCTTTTATTTTTAAGCTGGCTAATTTAGCAGAATTAAGATAGGATCACCACATTCATTTTTCTTCAAATGAGCTCTAAAGTGTTGCAATGTACTGTTATAACTTGAAGTTTGGCTTGTTAGAAAAAGAATATACATAATGTTTTAAATAGAAGTTATTTAAATTCAGTAATTTGCTAGAAAGAACTAACTAATATCTAATTACATGCTATTCCTATGAAGAGATTTACATTTGCTTTACACAACTTAATATTTACGAATGCATTTTTATTAAGAATCAAGGCAAAATGTATTCTTTATTTAAAATATTCAAAATATATTTTAGAAAGTCTTTATTTGATTATTTTAATATTAGAGTATTTTCATTGGGGTAAAATTGGCTTATTTCCAAAATTGCACAACTATAAAATTAAGTTTCTTAAAAGAAAAGTAACTATATTTATTTTGGCTGTATTTCTTTAAACACTTTTAAAGATTGATTTATGTTATGTATATGTGTGTACCTGCACTGTAAGCAGAGGGAATTGGATCCCCTGAAATTAGAGTTAAAGGTGGCTGTGAGCTGCCAGATGTGGATGTTTGGAACCCAACCAAGGTCCGCTGCAAGAGTAGCAAGTGCTCTTATTTGCTGAGCCATCTTTCTAGTCAATTTTTGCTATATTTCTAAAACTTTTAATTACTGTAGTTGAATTATGGAACAGAATGAAACATTAAAAATTGCATTCTCTAGCTACAAAGCTTATTGAGGTTAACACATGGCTTTGATTTGAAGGCTTCTTGTTTACCATGAGTTGATGAAATTTTGTAGAATTTAATGCATGAATGCTGAAGAAATAGGTTGATATCTATATGATCAACTTAGTGTTTTCAGTTCTGTAATTTAAACATGATCTCTTTTATGAAAGGTACTCACGAGTAATAAAACATGACTTGTTTTCTTGAGTTAGATATCAACTTATTTTTTTAAATCCTTGCCTAGGTGTTGTTAACCTAGAGACATTCTTTAAAATAGGCTCTTATTACATTTTCAACATAATTGGATGTATTTGTTCTGCATTTTATAAATGACATATGCTGACACCATTTACCTCATAACTGCTGAAAGTAGAGTCTCAAATATCAAAGAAAACCTAATTTCTGTGATGAAAGATTCAATACCAGTTTTATATATGTATTAGCAAAATCAAAAGGAAAGTGGATACATTTCAGTTTGTAACACCCAGTTGTGTGGGCTGAGGAATTTTGTTTATGAGAAAGAATGTATTTTGCAATTATCAATTCATCATAATAAGCATTGAGGACAAATATTTCAGTTAGTTCTCAAGTGCTTTAAGGCAGGGGAATTGTCATTGCCTGGCTGACAGTGTCTAGAGGGGCTGTGGGACATTAAAAGGCAGTATTTCACTCTGAGTTTTGTATGCCAGAAATGCAAAACACAAACCAAAACAAAACTAGAAAGAGCAGAGGGGCAAATCTTAGATTATTGGACAATGTGAATGTTGTAGAATATGTCTTAGTAAGGATTTTAATGGGTGCTTTAAAAAGTTATTCCAGGAGGACTCTCAAAAATCTAGAAAGAGGAGATATGTCACTATCAAAGAATGATGTCTAGACTAACAGGCATTTTCACAGAAAAGAATTGCTTCCCCAAATAGTACAATTAGGTCATGTGATCAAGGCCATTTGTGAAAGCGCAATATATATCAAGAACCAAATATCATTAAATTTATTAGAGGGGAAAAGTAGAGGTTTAAGTCATTTTTCTTGGTAGTAAGAGTCAGAACCAAATATCTTTGAGAGGAATTTCATTTGGGGTATAGGTGGGGGTGTAGAGGAGAGACATTTTGTTTGATAGTGATCATTATTATTATTTTATTATTATTATTATTAAATTTTTTGTTTTCTTTTTTGAGACAAAATCTCCCTATATCCCAAACTGATATGGAACTCACTATGTGGACCAGGTTGGCCTGGATCTCAGAGATCCATGTGCCTCTCCCTCTTGAGTGCTGGGATTAAAGGAATGTACCACGAAGACCGGAAACCCAATAGTGACTCTTTAAGGCAAGGAAATTACTTAAAAATTAAAGAAATACTTTGGTATCTACTTTACTTAAAAAGTAGGAAATTACTTAAAAATTAAAGGAAAGGAAATTTTAAAAATTAAAGGAAATTACTTAAAAATTAAAGAAATACTTTGGTATCTACTTTTTTTTATTAAAAAAAAAACAATGAAATACATAGAACTGCCTTAAAATATGATCAATTTTCAGGAGGAATTTTATGTGACTAGCAATTATTTTCCCAATTAAACTAGGATTTCCCAGTTGTCTATTTACTATTTTTTAAAAATATTTTATTTATTATTTTTATTTTATGTGTATGAGTGTATTGCCTGCATGTTTATAAGTGTACCCATGTTATGCAATGGCCACGGAGTTCAGAAAAGGGTATCAGATCCCCTGGAACTGGAGTTACAGATGGTTGTTAACCACCATGTAGGTGCAAGTACCTGAACCCAGGTCTTCTGCAAGGTCAGTGCTCTTAACTGCTGTCCCATCTCTCCAGATCCTTTATTTACTATTTTTAGTATAAATGCAAATAAATAATTTCACATATTTCTCAGAGCATAATTCTAGAATCCATTTAAATTTGGTCTTTAAAAATGTCTAAACTATTCTAAGGAGCTGTGTTGTCCTGGAGCTCAGGCTAGATCATTAAAATGTCTTGAGAAGACATCATTCAATATATAAACACATACTTTAAATATTTATTAAAATTTCCTACAGGCTATAAATGTATGCATTCATATCAATAAACTTTATATAATCATCCTACCCTTAGTGGCGTCATTCCTCTGTAAATTGGGTAATAAGTATAAATTAAAAGACTGTTCTCATTAATAGTAACTATAACCTTTAGTTCAATTTTATGTTACTACATAGTGGCACTCACATGAAATCAAGGGAATTTAGTGGGGTGGGATATTAGGCACAGTGCAGGGGGAAGGGGTAAAGGACTCATCAATGCCTCCAGGAAAGCTCACCTTTCTGAGAGAGTAGATCTCACACTACCCGTTCTCATGAGCAGACTCTGCACCTCGTGAGTGCCTGTGGTCAGTCCAGAAAGGGAGCCATGATGGCTGAGGGGCAGATCAATGGACTCAGAGCTCGTATGGAGACTAGTCATGGACTGGTAACTCGGAGTGTCCTTGCTGCCAGCAGAGGAACTGCTCAGATTGGCAGCCCACACAAGACCACCTGATGTGAAAGAATGAACCGATGCTGGGCTGGAAGCCAAGGAGTGACTTAAGCTTATAACATCTGTAGTTAAGTCTGAGGGTTTATTGAAGAGAGGGCTGCTGCTGCCACTCAGCCCGCCAGCACTGCCCATGCTGCCAGTACCAGACGATGGTGATTCCAGACTGCCTTGCCGCGCTAATGTGGTACTAGGGCTGGGTACTACTGAAGAGGATTTCACACCCTCAGTATTAGGTGCAGAGGCAGATTTGCCACCTGCCTTGGCACCAAACAACCTAAAAGAAAAACAAATAACAACTTCAGTTGTTCCAAGAGACTCATATCCACATTTCATAGTTAGGGTTTCAGTCCACAGAGCCAAGTGTGCTTTGGCGAAGGGAGCTACCAAGCACTTCCAGCCTCTATGTTCCTGAATTTGATATGCTTGGACTTTGTATTAATCAACTGCTAAGAATATCTTACAGCATCTTAAGGGGAAGTCTAGTGAACTACAACCCAGGTGGGGAGAAGTGGGCAAAAGTCAAACAGGAAGGAGCTTGACTTTCACACTTTCAATGATCAAAGGACTCAAATATTTTGAACATTCTGGTTGTTACCTATTTACAGAACCATTATAATGAAACAACTTCTACTCATTCGATATGGAACACTTGAATGGATTTTTCTCTTTTAAAAATATTTTATTCAAAAATCTAAAAGGAATGCTTAAGGCGAGGTTCAAGTAGGTAAGGAGAATGTCTGGTGGCCTCAGTGACTTGGCTGGAAATATTGAATATTGTTGGCAACCTCTGAGTTTGTTTATATCTTCCCCATGCAAAGGCCATAGGGTTTATGTTAGTTGCCAGAATTTTCAAATGCATATTTGTAAGTGATTTGAAATACCATCAGTGCTATGTTTGATGTTGGAGTTTACTTCAGAAAACATTTTAGTTTTGTAAATGAAACAGATGATATAATCAAATTTATGTAAATATGGAAATAAAGTGATATGGCATAATGATAGAATGGTTACTAATTCAGTTGCAATGAAATCCATATTTCCCACAGTGGAAGATTTTATGACGAATATGAGAAATTGTTTCATAGGTAATGGGCCACAGGAGGGCACTATTGGCTTTCACTTAAGCAATGGAACCATTTACTTTTGCCACAAGCCATAATTTATTCTTTCCAATGAGAACTGACACTTCAAAATGTTCAAGATTAGTATTTCTAATAAGAATGAAACCTCTATATTTTCAAACAATTATGTTTCTAAGCTTACTTGAATGTGAGAATAAAATTTGCAGGACTATTTCCATGAGATCAAAATCCTAGGCTTAATCAGCAAAATCAAAATAACCTTAAAATATTTAATAAGTAGTCGATGATATATTATACACTATTACTTTGAAGATGAGAAAATAGATTCAAAGAGATTTAACTTTGTCCCGTCTTCAACTATATTTGTTTTCTTGACACTAGGGTATATCTGTGATACCTCTAAACAAAACCTCACACATTAAATACCAAAGACAGTCCTGGCACATAAGCCATATATTCTGCTTACCAGATTCCTGTCAAAGAAAGTTGAAGAATTAGAAAAGTTATCTTACCCTTGAGTTCTTATCCTGTATGAAACATCTAAATGCTTTCACATTCTATCAATCAGATCATACATTGATTTTTTTGACTATTCTAAGACATGGTACTGTATGAATTTGTCCAAAGAAAACTGTTAAAAGGAGCACAACATCTGTATTCACAATCAGCAGCTCATTGAGAGTCAGTCAGATGACAGACACTGGAAATAAACTATGTTTATGAAGATCTACTTGGTTAAATTTTTTAATTATGGAAAGGAGATGTGGAAAATTGTTGAATATTTTTATAAGCTATTGCTTCATTTTATGATGAAACTTAGGAATATTTGCCTGATTTTAAGTCTGTTACATATGCTCTTAGAATTCTCTATATTACAATGACAGTGCAGCTGCAAAGCCAGACCATTTCTTGAACCAGCACTACTTTATGTGCTAGCAACTTCCATGATCAGTTTCTTAGTCCTCATGGTATTTCAAATGATTCTAGGATATAGGTATCTTACAATATATTAAAATACTTTCATATAGAATAAATGAATATGTGTTGTATGCCTTTTTAGATTTTTCCAACATCCTTTACATATCCTTACCTTCGAAATGTAGGTGAGGCAATATCTGGATATTTGGACCCTGGCTGCCTGAGCCCTTGTGTGCCGCAGGCACTGGCAGAGGTGGGGCTGGATTTGGGGGAACCTGATAAAGAAACACTCTCTGAATCTGAAACTGCTACTTTCTCCTTCTCCTTGTCTGTTTGATTGACAGAGACAGGACTGGAGCGGCCTGAGCCTATCTTAGTTGGTTCTCTCAGTTTGGAGGTGGTGGCCCCTGCTGATTTGCTGCTGACATTGGAGTCAATGCTGCTGGTACTGGATCTGTGACCACCGCGCCCAGGGATGCCGCTAGTGCTGGACTTGGAAGGGCGGGGCAAACTCCGGTACTGGAGAGTGGTCTTCGAGCTTACATGCAGGACAACGTCATCTTGATTCTGGGACCCATCCAGGCTGGTTTTCCTCCCTGCGTTTGACTTTCCCCCAATGGCAGCGGACTTGGGAATTTTCCCCAGTGTGGCTGAACCACTGGCTATGGTCGCTCCACTGTTGGTGATCACAGCACAGGACCCTACTCCGCTGGACTTCTTAAATCCAAAAGAGCTGGTGGCAGTGGATCTCCCAATGCCCGACGGGGGCTTCTTCCCTTCATCTCCACTGCTTTTCCCTGCATCTGAAGGAGACCTCTGCAGGGACGATCCTTTCAGAGGGGTTTTCCCCTTCTCAGAAGCTTTCGCATCATCTGTCTTCCCTGAACGAGAAACACACAGATATATTTGAGTATTTTGATTTTATAACATCTCCTAAACAATATGGAAATGTGAATGCTCTTTATAATACTCTCATTCTTAATTTTGTTTTGCTTTAGAGCTAAATAGGCATGCACTGTAATGTAAAGAGAATTGAATTCATAGCCAGCAAAAACTTTTGTATAAGTGAAGTAACACAAATGCAGAAAAGCAAGTGCCGTATGTTCTCCCTCGTCCTTGGATTATGGCACCAATCCCTTATATGTGAGCATATAAAGTCTGATGTAACACCAGGAGCCAGGTAAAGGGAAAGGATACATGGAGGTAAAGGACAAGAAACAACCTGAAAGAGAGAAAGTAGGGAACAGATGTTACCTGAGGGAGGTGAAAAAAGTGGGAATAATTAGCAGGGAGGAGAAGAGGGAGGGACAATCAAGGGACCATGGTGTGGGGGAGGGAGGGAAGTCAGGAGAGTAAAGATGGGAGGAGTGGGGAGGTATTGGGGGGGAAAGTGAGGATAATTGGGGCACTGGTGACTAGGGAGGAGGGAAGCTGGATGGGAGAAAAAGAGTGGAAATGAGTTAATCTGGGGGTGGGCAGGAAACCTAGAAAGAAAACTGATGCCCTAGAAACCCTATGAGGAATGCACATAGAGTGTCTGAATATTAATGCATATGTATACCTGGAAGCTGCTTGGCAGGGAACGCAGTGCCGGATAGAAGAGACTTCCCTTCGAGTGACAAGCATGCCATATAGCACTCATCAAAGAAGTTTCTTTTTGTAAGAGATGGAGGATACTGCAGATTTGCACATCTGGAGTCTATTCACCTACCACTTGATGTGTCACCTACCACTGAGCATCTCCCAGGCAACACATCTGCAGTGGAATCTCTAAAACTAACACTTATAGAACATAGTGGAATAAGGGGTAGAGAGAGGGATAACACACCCCTCAACTCTCACCAGTGAGGCTTCCATGTACATCAGAGTGTGATGCACAAAGGCCACAAATGGTCAAGTTTTGGAGACTAAGAGACCATAGAGTATAGGATGAGACTCCAATATGGAACCTCACCCATCCATGGCTCAGGGACCATTGAAGAAGAGGAGGCAGAAAGATTGTAAGAGCCAGGTCTGGTTCATTAACACAGGGAGATGGAGTCCTCCACACCAATGGAGGCTTGCTCATGTGAGCCTGTGGCAGTGATGGCATTGAGCATGGGACCAATGTCAGCTCAATTAAACAAGGGCCCAAAATGGAGGTGAGAAATAGGTGGCAGGCCAGCATAGATTGAGAACTATTTGAGACTGATTGCTGCTGGGGGAGGGAGAGTATGACTTACATACTATCACTGAATGGGTTGACTAGACTCCAGTTGACACATTTACACTGAAGTACGTTTGGGTGCAAACACCTGAATGAAGAGGACTCAGCATGTATGGCAGAGTGCATAGGGTTCCTTGGGGGATGGTTGGGGGATGGGGGGAGGCAGGGATGGGGGAGGGTGTCTGGATGTGAGTGAGAAATATTGTATGAAATATAAAAAGCTCAATAAAAATTATTAAAAAATTTGTCTGTTAAAATGTGAGATTGAAAGATAAAACGAAACATTTTCTTATTGGCTAATGTCATGTATCTTAACAACACTTTTGCTTCAGAAGGAAGCCCTTTACTCCTATAAAGCTAAGCACTAGAAAGAACCCATCTCAGTGTTTTCAATGTGATTTTATCTGGAATACTCTGTGACATCCATACTTCGGGTGCCACTATTTATAAATTAAGAGGAGAGTCTTGAAAAAAATGTGATGCAATTTAGCAGAATTCTTTCGCTCTTTTCATTCATAAAGTCTAATTCACAAATAGAGTTTTAAATATCAGCATTCTAACCCTCGGATTAGAGTGACAGTTTTGGCTCTCAGTTTTGTGGTGAAAGACAGTGGCACACATAACATCAATACCGAATATTTTCATTAAAATCAGAATAAGTAAGGGCTATTACATATTCTGCATCAATATTTTACTTGTATATGACCAGAAGAAACCAGAAAGTAAAAAGGTACAGTTTCCCAAGTTACAAAGTGATGATCTCTAAGCAACACCCAGATTCTTGTACTGACATGGGCTTATACGGCAAAGTATGTGAATTTTAGATAAAAATTACTTAACTATGCATAGAAAAATCATTTTTTAATATTTTATTTATTATATATATTCTATGTGTATGAGTGCAATGCCTGCATGTAAGTGCGCTCGTGTTGTGTAATGCCTGTGAAGGTCAGAGGAGGGTGTCAGATCACTTGGAACTGGAGCTATGGTGGTTGTTAGCCACCATGTGGGTGCTGGGAACCAAAGCCAGGTCCTCTGCAAGAGCAGTCATGCTCTTAACCACTGAGCCATAGATGAATCTGATTTTTAAAGAGTGCTATTACACATCGAGCCAGACACTGAGTGGAAACCATAGATTTAAGCACTTCTGCAAGACAGTTTCCAAGTGGCAGGCTTACCGGGAGTCTTGAGTGCACTTGTGCCCGTCGTTTTTTGCCTTGCAGGTGTTCCTCCCTGGGCAGACATGCCTCTTCTCCAGGAGCCTGTCTGGGACACAGTCAGGCTTGCTTTCTGCCCTGTCTTCTCCGGGTCTTCAGCAAGTCCCGAGGTCCCAGCCCTCCACTTGCCACCTCCATCACCATGACTATCAAAGTCATCTTCTGTCTTCTTCATCTCCTCAGGACTATCCCAGGTCTCATCTGCTGTAGAACGTTTCTCTGCATCTGTCTTTAGCTATAAAGAAACATATTTTATAAAGAAAAATCTATAAAATATGAAGCAAGATGTGGAAGGCATTTTCAGATAAGTGACAGAAAAAGAAGAAGCACTGATAAATACTTCAAAAAACTCCAGAGACAATTCTATTTTTATCTATGTTTCCATTGAAGTTTCATTAATTTGAGCCACATAATTTTCCCTAGCACATATTAGAGAATGTCAGAATAAATATGTGCAGAAAAGACTAATTAAACTCCAGAAAGGAAGGGATTTTCTACACTAAACGTGACAAAGAAAACCAAGACACTTCTAGTGTCCTTTCTTGATTCACCACTCACATGAGAGACTAGTAATTTATTTTTTGAGATCAGCCTAAAATTAATTCAGAAGTACTCAAAGTTCAGTTGTTTAAGTACTTACATGATTTTTAAACAAATAAATTGATACTAGAAGGGAAAATGGCAATATTGGTCTTTCTGGGTTATACTGTCAGTAACAGAAAATAAATATATCTTAGCTGCTTATGATATCCAAAATAGGCTGAGATTCTCATTGCTGTAGTTTGAGGGTCATAGCTCAAGGAGGACCACAAAAAAGAAAAAGAAAAACAAACAAAAAACAACAACAAGAAAAAACTTCAGGTCCCAGGTTTGCTGAAGTGAGTCATTATCTCTGATTATTCAGTTTATTCAAATATTTTAGATTAAGGATTGAACTACAACTTAATTCAATACAAAATTATCTGGAAAACAGAATTGACAAAATCACTGGACAAGCAGGATGATCGTACCTGAGTGTTTTTCCTGGAAGGGACAGTGATGTTGGAGTAAGAGCTGACAGAAGATGTGGTGTTCAGGTCATCAGTGCTGATGTTATCCAGGGTATCACTGAGCCCGCTGCTCACGGAACTGCTGTCGTCCCAGCTAAAGACAACAGAGCCAGCAGCAATGAGGCAGGCACAGGACACACAATGGGAGTCACCCAAATTCCCACAGAGCCTTGTCACACATCAGGAAGGCAATTTAAAACATTTTATTATGAAAATGTACTCTCAATTTGGGGGAGGAATAATATTTATGCTAATAGAACTCCCTGAGAACAACCTTATCTGATATTTAGAAAGCAACAAGCAGATCCAGGTTTCAGGGGAACATGAGCAGCATGCATGATAACCCTGAGACAATACTGTATGGCCCGGGAAGAGGGTCATGCCAGCTGAGACTTCCAACCCAGAAAAAGCAAACTAGAGTCGCTAAAGCATCTAAGATTTCATCCTCCGTTCAGAAAACTTTTAAAACTTGTGTGCTTTAATCAAGCACCTGAAAATCATGTTAGTTTATTATCATTTGCTCATTATTAAATATTGAAATTCATTCAATAACATCAGCCTTCACAAGTCCAGAAAATATTCTCCTATCTGTCCTACTTTTGGCCTTTCCATATAACTTACCTGTCACATCTGAGTCAGCTAGCAAGAATTCATGCCTGGCCATGACACTACCCTGCTACACTCTCCAAAAGCTTCTTCTTTCTTCAGGTGTAGCTTCCAAAAATGTATTTGTATCACAGGGTGCATAAGAAAATCATTGGAGGTATATGATAAATATCTGAAATTCTGAGTATACCCATTTTTTTTATCTAAACAAGAACAAATAAAATAGGCAATACTAAGATGCATGAGCAGGGTGACAGTTTCCTTGCCTCTGCCAGCATTAGATGGCATTAATGTTTTTAAATTTAGCATCTCTAACAGGTATTTAGGAAATTATGTAATATTTAAATATTGCAAAGTCTCAGATTTCACTCAGATTCAGAAGAAGGCTGTCACTACCTACTCATCCATAGTTACAGGAGGTATTAAGGAATACCTACAGAATAATACAGGATAATATATCGCATATTCAAAGATGGGAGTTAAACTGAAAAGCAAAATTTATGAGTATTTTTAAAATGACAATGTCTCTGGCCAAATATTTTAGTGTGTGTGTGTGTGTGTGTGTGTGTGTGTGAACTCACACGCGCATGTGTATGTGCTTGTTCATCTACCACAGTGTACCTATGGAGGTCAGAGAACAATTTGGGGAGGTCAGTTCTCTCCCTCCACCGTGTGGGTTCCCAGGACGGAGCTCAGGTCTTCAGACTTGGTGGCAAGTGTCTTTACCTTTGAGCCATTTCTCTAGTCTTTAATAACAGCTTTAAGCAAATGTGAATCCTAGCATTGGTGAATATGATAAATACATTAATTGATACTGCAATCACAGGAATCACATATATTGTTTAAAATCATGTGATGTCCCAAATGAATACAATTATCTTTAGGTTAAAATTACATACATGAAAGAATAAAAAATCATGAAGTTTCAATCTCTCAATGAAAAACAAAACAAGATTTCATCTAATAAATATAATAGACATGGAGGAAAAAAATCACACTTAGCATGGCATAATGGAAATAAAATGAACAGAGGAGTCTTGCTTGGATTTGACCTCTTCTATAGGTACATAGCTAAGATGCTTATTTAAGTGTGCTGTTTTGATTGTCGGTTTCACAGGGTTGTATGAAAGGTAAATAAATACTTGAATGAACCATTTCCGATACTTTATCCTTTGCTTTCTCTTCAAACTCATTTACCTATAGGACCTTAAACTGTGAAATCTGCCCTTGAGAGAACCATCTTCCACAATGTTAAGCACATATATCTCACATCTAGATTCCCATTCTAAAAAAATATTTATTTATTTGTTTATTTATTACTAAATAAGTGTTTGGCCTGCATGTAAATACATACAATACCAGCAGGGTTGAATCTTCTGGAGCTGGAGTCACAAATGATTGTTAGGCACTACGTGGGTGATGGGAACTGAACCCAGTTCCTCTGCAAGAGCACCCAGTGCTCTTAACCACTGATCTATCTCTCCAGCCCCTAGATTTGCATTTTCTAGTCTCTATTTTCAACTGCCCTCTTTTGTTGTGTTTTTATTTTTTTCTCCAATGATACTTCTCCAAGTGGTACAAGATCCAAAGCTTCTTAATAGTTTTCCATATCTGTTCTGATCCTATAATTAAAATGTATGCTTTGACTTCACAATGTCAGAATCCTTCCTTATACTATAACACAAAACTCAAAGCTGTTTACTTTATTAAATTAAAAGAGTTGTATAGGTTCTAGCAAGACTATTGCACCAGCATCTGGCTGACTCTAAAGAGGAATTCTGCTACACCCCAAGAGGGTAGATGACAACATGATGGGAACAAGTGTAAGAGGAAGAGATCATGTGGTGAGACAGGAAGTCAAGAGATCCCCAGATTTATGCTCTTTATAACAACTTGCTACCACAGGAGCTAGCTACTGTCCTATGAGAACTGCACTAATCTTTTGGAAAAGGAGCATAATCCAATAACCTAACAACATTTTTAGACCCCCACCTCTTGAAGGTTACATCACTTCAACATCCCAACTTTGAGGACTAAGCTTCCAGCATATAAACTTTTGGACAAACAGTACCCAAGCCAAAGTATACATTTTATAAAATAACAAGAAAGCCAACTTATTATACGACTGAATGCTTTCAGGTTTAAGCCTGCCGAGAAATTCTATTTTATACAAAAGCACTTCTCTTACAATTCTAAAGCAATAGCAGTCATTTAACTCTCCTTACTTCTGATCATCAGGTTTTTTCTCCATATTATAATGGAATTACTTTAAAGGCCAACGATATTCTTGAAGTGAGTGTTTACTATGCTTTCTACTGTTCTAAGAACTTATTTTCAATTCTCAAAATAACTTTATGAGGTAGTCCTTTTTCCAATGATCACTTTACAGGTCAGGATAAAGAGGCTTATGATGATTAAATCTTTACATGCTCAAGTTCCCATGATGGTAGAGCTGGAATTTGAACCCAGACATCTTCTGTTCACTCTTGCCTAGTTGCATCATACTGCTCTTCAATACTGTCCTTGTTTCTGTCTTCTCTTTCCTCCTTCTTGAAATACACCAATAATAAGCATTACATTCTCTGTAGGGCTCTCTGGACTCTTCAGAGTCCTATACGTCTTTCCATCTTCTTGAGAACATTCACTTGCACAATATTCTGCGCTTAATCATCTTAACTCACTTTAGAGAATCTTCTTGGGCAATTGTAATCCCTTTCAAATCCTCTATTTCAATTTTATGATTATGAAACACCAATTCACTTCTCTAATATAGAAAAATTTCCCCACTACAAGACCATATTTAATACATATTTTGAGCTTTTTCTACTGTCTTATTAACATCTCAAATTTACTCCATGTAGTTTGCATAATTTCTCTTTAAAATTCTTGCTTTTGTTCACTGGCTCTGGTTGTCCATCCTTCTTCTCTAATATTATACTAGCTCCTCGCTTTTCTTAGTTAAGCTCCATTCTCAATGAATAGAGCTAATTACTTAAAATCCTTCAGGAGTTTAGAAGGCTGGCCACCCTTTTGTTCTGCAACCTCCATTTTTGCACTCAATGCTCATCTCAAACTTCTACTGATAACTATGTATTCTCACTCACTGTGATGAATGAATTGCAGTTACCCAAAGAATTGTGTTTACTGGGGAGAACAGCAACTTCACTAAATGCTTTCAATACAAACTAGTAAGTGCTGTGATGGTTAGTAGTGTAAGTGTATGGCAGGACAGGGTCAGTGCTACTTTTTGAAGAGCTGACATCTCCATGATGAGACTATTACAGTATGAGAAGGAGATGAAGTGCTATGTTAACCAGTCTATTGTTGTATTTTCACCTATGATAACCATTTTATTTTTGTGTCCTCTAGGTCACAGTGTGAATAACTGATATTTTATTTCTTTATAGGCCTAGCATATAACAAGGTATCTGTTGTTGAATCGCTAGGATATGTTAAATGAATGGAGTTTTGCTTCTTTTCTTTTAAGAATTATTTTCATTAATTCTTTGGGATTTTCATACACAGTATTTTCATCATTTCACCCTCCTTCCCCAGGTCTGCACCTTACTTCTCTACCCACACAACTTCTTGTTCCACATTTTTTATTGTATCCACTGGTAGGTAAACCACGCACCAGGGAACAGACTCAAATCAAAGTGCATTTGAGCAATATAAATCGGACTTGATGGGCTTTTTAACAAAAGAAGTTTTGATTTTGAAAATGCTGTTTCCACTCAGTAATTTTAAATAGGTTTAAACTAAATAATAATTACAAATTTTGGGCAAAAATTTGTTCAACATATTTCTTTGATAAGCAAACTTGAAGGGACACATTTTGACAGATGATGAAATTATTTTCCTGATTTTAAACTTCTATGACTTTTGAGTTTCAGCTTTGATTTTGTAGATATCATAATTTCCTTAGCAAGAATGCAATTAATTCTGTTTATTATGGCACATTTAATTAAGTTGAAAAAAACTTCATAGAAAGTAGTCTTTTAATAAAAAACTGATTAGCATAATTAGCTCTGAGTAATAGGTCTCAGGTCTCATGAAAATATTTTCCCATTCTTTCTTTTTTAATTTCATTAGCATGTGCTAAGAGTTTTTGACTATATTCTTCATAAAAGGGAATCTCTTTATTTCTGCTAAATTATACATATATCATTCTGCTGAATGTTTCCTTCACAATCTATGACATTCCCATAAATTATGTGCATGTTAGTCACATAGCTTTCACTGATATGTTAGATGGTTTCTTATTTTAAAATACTTTAAATAAAGTTATTAAGAACATTCTCATATAAGAACTTGCAAAGACATACTTCTTGGGTCACTGTGTAGGAAAGCAGTTGGTGGATCAAACTGTGGGTGAACAGAAGAAACTGCAAACTCTTTTTCAACAAGGCTTCATGATTTTTCATGTGTGTGTGCATGCGTGCATGCGTGTGTGCGTGTGTGTTTGTGTGTGCATATGGGCGTGCATTC